ATTGAGGCCAGTTGCTTCCCTCCCTTGGGTCATGGAGGCACTTTTGCTGTAGCTCTTAGTGGTAAGAGTTGGAGATGCCCATGCATGTAGTTACAGGATCCCTTGCAGCTTCACTTGGCCACGCTGGAAATCTTGTTGGGTTAAACCTGGGCTACTTTATGACAAAACACAGGTGCAGTAAAGCATGTGGTAGCCTTGACGTGGCTGTGGCAACATTTGCAAAGCTACAGTTAATCCCTGGGGATGGGTTAGGAAACTGCTGGAGGACAACACGCCAGCAAGAGGTGTCCTGGCTGGTGCTCAGCACCCTGCAGCTGTGGCGAGGAGCCACGCTGTGGTAGCCAAATCATCCCACCTCTGAAATCCAGACATCCAAAGAGATGACTGTCATGAAACCAGAATGTAGTTCCTTGTGTCGCTACGTGTCTTACAAAGGGGTTTGGGGCACCCCTATGCTCCCAGCATGGGTGGCTCAGGCTGGGATGCTTCCTGAATAAGGCCATAGGGAATCTCTGCTCACCAGCAAAGAAAGGGTGAGCTGGGTTTTGCAACCCTTCATGGCCAACGGGGTAATACAGGAATTTTTTGGAGCCTGAGCATGGTATGGAAATGCTCCTGGTTAGATGTGGGGAATCATTGCCACGTAAACAAGCCTTATCTGCCATCTCTGGCTGCCCTCCTGGGGCATAGACTTCAGAACAAGGCCCTTCACACATTTGGCACCGGGGACTTGCCAAAGCTGCACAAATCCAACCGAGGCACTGGGGCGACAGCAGGTTTAACGAGCGCCCGTGCAACGTGACCGATGGGGTTTCGGTGCGTATACCAGGTAAAAGGTTAGCACGGTGCTGCTCCCCTGGTATGTGCTGCCGGTCGCCTCGGTGGGCAGCATATCCTCTCACCAATGTCACCTTGCATCCCGTGGACCTCGGCTGAGGGAGTTGGCTGCAGCCATGGTCAGGTGATGCCGCCCATGGCAGGTAGACAAAACCCTCTGGCAACACTTCATGGCTCTTGGTGGCTTTTTGAATTGTTTATTTTATTTTAGCCTGAGACACGTTTCAGTTGCTGTCTGTGCCAATACCAGGCTGCTCAGCACAGGCATTGCAGGCTTCACTGATGGAAGGAGAAATCCCTGACAAAGTCGTCAAATTGCACCCAGCAAAATAACCAACGAAGCCAGAAAAACCCAAATAAAGACAGCTGCTGGGCAGGGGGATGCTGCAGCCACAGCAGTGATCAGGGTCTGATGCACAAATCCTTTATTTTTCAAAGATAGTAGCCACCTACATGTTGTGTTTTCTTCCCCTACCTCAAGTCAGGACTTAAGGAAAGGCCTTTCTGTTTTAATCTTCATCTGTTTGATTAAACAGGCCATCAGCGAGCCTGAAATAACTAGTCCCATGGACCAGGAAAAGAAATGTTTGGTTTGTTTCTTTTTTCTTTCTTCCTGTTGGGCTTTTCTGATGTATTTGAACCCCCACGGTAGTGGTACCATGCAGCCAAGATGGTACAGACAGCAGTGGGCAATGCCCTGATATAAAGCTGCAATTGTCTCTCTGTAAAGGGGCCAAGGAAAGCTAGTGTCTGCAGGGACAGTCTTGTGAGGACATCATTTTCAAAGAAAGAAAAGAAAAAAAGAACAAAAATAGGGGGGAGGGGGAGGGCAACTTTCTCATGGCCTTGTGAGACTCAGCACATGCCCAGCTGCACTTGATGAAGTGTTGGGCTGGGGAAAAGTGAAGTAAGGCCATAAGCTGGGCAAGACTGAAATGATGTAGGTTGGGACCAGCACTGACCCTTCTTCATGCTCAAAGTCATCATTGCTAAGGGAAAAAAAAAAAAGAAAACCAAAACCACAAACCAAACTGTTGTTGATGACCCAGGGATGGTTGGATGGTTTAGCTCCTGCCGAGCAGTGCTTACAGAGCGTCAAGGCCTTTTCTGCTGCCCACACCACCGCACCAGTGAGCAGGCTGGGAATGCACAAGAAACTGGGAGGGGACACAGCTGGGACCGCTGAGCCCAACTGACCAAAGCATATGATGGTGTGCTCAGCGATAAAACTGGGGAGGGTGGAGGCAGGCAGGGGTGGCCATTGGTGAGGGACTGTCTGGGTATCAGTTGGTTAGTGGTGAGAAATGGTTTTCTTTTCAATCACTTGTTTCTCTTGGTTTTGTTTTTTTTTTCCTCTTTGTTGTGGTGGGGATTTTTTTGTTTTTTCTCTCCTTTTTTTTAATTTACTAAAACTGCATCCCAGCCCACAAATTTTTGCACTTCTAACCTTCCAAGTCTCTCCCCATCCCACTGGGTTGAGGGAGTGGCTGTGTGGGGCTGAGCTGCTGATGAGGGTGAAACCATGACAGACGTGAAGTCAGTGAGCTGGGCCAAACAGCTTAGTGAGCTGGGCGCACATGCACACATACACACACGTAGATATATAAAAAGGAATATTTTATAAGGACCAAAAGCAACAACCCCATAATAAATAGTACGTTAAAAGGAAGAATTAGGGTACTCAAAGACCAAAAAAAAGCATCCAAAACCGTAACTGGTTTATAAAGGAAAGTTTTATTTTCAGTTATAAGGTGATTACAAACTCATCTAAAAAAAGCAAAGATGACAAAAATATCCATATACATTTTATTTATCTAAAAAGCAAAACAGAAACTGCAAAATACAAACATTTACCATATACACAAAGGCTAGATTAGGATTAAATTACACTCCAGGATTTTTTTCAAATACAAATATTCCGGTTTGGAACACACAAAAATGTTTTAAAATGTTTTAAAAATATTTTTAACGTTTTTTTTT